ACGCGGCCTTTCATAGTTTCTACTTCTGTGGGGATCAATCAGGTCTGTATTATTGAGATTCTTTTTTTTGAGGGGAAAATCATCCACTGATTTCTCTCGCCCGGCTGAGGGGAGACGGAGTGTCAGACTCTTACTAACTAGAAACCACCTCGTTCCTACTCCTGCACTTCGAGCCGGAGCCCCGGCAATCCGATAGGCCTTCCGCGCCTCCGTATCGGGCAACAGCCCTACTCATTATATTGGGCTTGACAATATAATTATCAGGCTCGCTCAGGTATATACTAAACACTATCTCTAGAAGACTTTCAGCCAAGGAAGTTAGAGGGGCCTTAGAAAGCACTTATAATAAATCACATCAGACATTGACAAATACATATATGTATAATGTAGTCATTAAAATCAAAACCAGGTTTAAATTAAGCAAAAAGTGTCTATTGGTAGGTAAGTTAATAACTTTATTCATTGAATACTTTTACGCATTCCATTTTAAATCTCTCGGAGCCGACCGATATACATAAATCACTTTTTCTCGTTCTCAAAATGGCGGAAACGAGCTAGTCCGTACGAGACGCGAATTCAAACACTCGTTTTACATTTCGTCACTGTTTTTAGAGTTCTACGAAAATGTTGGTGATCCTTAGAGCTGTAAGAGTAATTTTATGTTCCAAATGCAGTTATGTACAGCGGGATCGTAATATCTAATTCGGTAGTGGCCACGAGATCTAGTGTTGCTTATTCCCATGAGACAAAGACATTATGTATTCAATTATTCTCTAAAAACCAACTGTATAAATCTTGTTTTAGGTTCACAATTTAAGTCAAATAAATCACAGCTACTCACAAAGTTTACCTGTTGTCTTGTCTTCTAACTAATCCGCTTAATGTTATCAAACAACAAGCAACAAAATAAAAATACGGAACTCATTGCTAAGAACAACACTGCAGGCACTGCGCGTATATTTTGTGGCAATCTCATCAATTTCTATGATGACTCGAAAATGAAAGGGAAATATATAATAAATCAGTTTTATTGTCCGTAAGTTCGGAGTCATGAGCCGGAATACATTACGACATGTTCTTAGGACTGACCGAATTCCACTGATTTATACCTACATAGACAAACTGCTGTAGGGTGTTATTTGGGGAAAGTAGCTTCTAAATCCACCATTTAATATAAACAAATTAAAGAAAGAAACGAACAAAAAATTCATCAGTGGAAAGAAAAAAGAAACAATCTTAAGGCTAGTGATGTGCAAGGCTGTCACGTAAATAACCGTAAACTTCATGTAATCGGTTGATTGTGTAAAGTGCCATCAGTTTTATGAAAAGTTATATTTAAAGAAAACAAAAGTCTAAGGGTTCATGCACAAAACTGCAATGCGATTTCGATTTTTAAGAGAAACGCCTTGTCGCCCGAAATCGCATCACAGCAATAAGCATCATTGCGTTGCGAATTTGCATCGCAGTTTTCTGTACGATCACCAAGCAGCGGTATTTACGATACGTGAATGAAGACATCAATTTATTAAATACAGTAGAAGATTTTATTCTGAGAAAGTAACAAAGATGGTAGTCAGTCACAGGATTAAAAAAAGAAAAACAAACCGGCTTCAACATTTCACTTTTGTTTTCGGCCATATTGAATTTTCCAGGTAGTGAGCCTATGTTAATAAGAAACGTGACTTTCATCGTCTGTACCTAATATGTGAAGCATCAGTTACTTGTTTCAGAATATAGTAACAAAAATGAAATTTTGTATGTGCTCGGTATAAATATTACTTCGTGACATCTTCCAAGAAAGTTTCATTTAGTAATAGCCGTATTAAAATTCAATAAGACTTCAAAGTAATATCTAATTAAATTATGGTTATTCTGGTTACGACAGAAAAGAATACCTTCATTTGTGACCACTCTTAATTTTCACATGAAAATTATATGAACAAATTAGACGACTACACATTTGACAAAAACCAGGTATTAGGGCAGAAGTGTTTTCAGATCAACCATATTTCAGTGGTGGACTATCATAGGCTGCCGCTGTTGCTCCTGCAGTAGTACGATAGATAAGTAGGTACAGAAAAAGGAAAACCGAATTTTGAAAAATGAAACTACTTGGCCACAGATTTTTTACTATACTAATATTGTAAAATTTAATCTTAAGCTTAAGTAATATGTTCTGGATCTCCATCTAGAATATTACAAACAAATTAAAACCCAAATATTATCGTGTAGTGAGAAATTCGCATAATTAGTTATAGGCAATCTTACCCAGCCAGCTATTTGCGTAACGTGAGCTCAAAATCAAACAGGGTTGACTAATTAGGGTTTGTGAATGTGTGACATATGAAGGAACCCTTACTATAACTAGGTAGCAGTTCTCTTCGTAAATGGCCTTTTGATATAGGTTCTTCTTTACTAATTAATATACTTAATACCAACCTACTAGTCTTTAGAATATAGGAACTTAGTTTTTAATAGTTTTTGAAGAGTTCGAAGTTCCTTGCAGAACGCCCTTTATTGATCGAATAGAGGGCAGAGATGCATTAATTGTGCACTTCCAGTTTTCGCCAGTTGTAATATCCTCTAAGGGATTAACAAGATGGGAATATAAGCTACTGTAGCAGGGTATCTTATTTCGAAAGTAGCAAGATTGAGCATTACCTACACCTCTGCTTGCGACTAGAGGTAGCCATAAAAGTTTTAAAATTCATAACATACAGCAAAACGATAAAAACAATTTGAATAAAAGATGTTATCCTATCATCAAATGGTTTCCTCGACATGAATACTTGGTAGAATGGAATACCGTCTCTCGTAGATAGTTCAAAAGTTGAAGGAATCTGAAATGAGTCAACTTAACTTGGCCAAGTTGGAAAAAATCCGGACGTTCCATTGTATATTACGTACTACAACCGTTTGTGTGACTAGAAACTTCTATCTATGTACAAAAATATGTCTAAAAAGAAATAAGCAATAACCTATTGTAGGACTAAACCTCTATTCTATGTGAAAGAATGATAGTGTAATAGCTAATTCTGATCATATTCACACATCTTATAAAATGTAATTACCTCATAAATCACTTAACGGAAACACTACACATCTGAAGTAGTTCATAGCATTAATGGGACGAATTAATTACTGTTAATTGTAATTACCAGTGTACTAGGTCTAAGCTTTGATTGCTAACATATCTAACTCGGAACTACAAATGTATTGCATTGCAGAGCTGCATTAATTATATGAGTAGCCATTCCTTGAATGCCATTGTACATTCTATAGAGATTGGAGTGAATAATACCTACATGAATAAGTTCCGGGGTTTTATACGTACTTGTGTGCTACTAGCTGTTGCCCGCGCCGTTGCCCACATAGCATATGATTCCTGTTTTATCCCATGGCAGCCTTTAATCAGGATAAAAAGGCATATTCTATCACCTAAGTCAGCCTATACCCTGCCTGTATACCAATTTTCATCGAAATCCGTTCAATAATTTCAACGTGATTGACGGACAAATATCCAAAGAAACTTTCACATTTATAATACTAGTGTGATGTTGTTACAATGTGTATATTTTAGTTCTTAAATACACTTATTCTACTTGATAACTATAGCAAAATAATTATTCTGCCTTTCTATCCCTGTTTTTGAGTTTGTGTTACATTTTGTAACCAAGCATTGGCGGTTTCTATATATTCTTTAAGTAACTTACTTACTTGGCAATAGTACCACTGCCTCTATATATTATTCCTTAACCAATTTATTACAAAAAGCAAAGCTATATTTTTTACTGAATTTCGTTACACCAGCCTTTAGCCTGCGGTTAGGTCAATCTTCACGGTTTTAAATAATAACAGTTAAAGTACAGTGAAACTCTGCAATACTGCAATTTGATTCGCATTTTTTTTATTAGGCACACAGCGGTATTCTGCGCTTATATTGTTAGGCAAGTTTAGATGCCTGTTTAGGATGTGTAGACGTACATATTTAATAGTTTTAACCTGAGGTTAGGTAAGTCTCAAATATTAAATAACAGGTTTGAACACAAGAGATTGACTGAATAATCTGGTTTACGCAAGATTTCAGAGGTAAAGTGACTCGTATAGTACAGTGGGTATTCACTTTGAACAGAATTACTGATGAAAATAAAGCTTCTTATTGAATTCGTGAATAAATAAACAGCTTTCTCGGCATTTCGATATAAAATAGTATGTTAACAAGTATGTATGAGGCCCATCCACTTCGAATCATGATCGTTAACAATTATATAAAGTGACATTATTTTAAAACTAAATATTAAAGCCAAATATTGTAAGATATGAATGTCAAAATCACATTCTAATAATAAAAGATAGTAAAATATAAAATCTAATCTATTGAGTTATTTTTAGATTAGCCAACTGTAACTTAGAAATAAATATGGATAAAACGTTCATGAATATACACGTACCTATATAAAAGTAAATATACTGCCTATTTGCTTCCTTAAAGTAACTACATTTTTATTTATTTTGATAAAGATTATGTAAGTACTTGCTTGCCTGCTAACTAATGAATACTGTTATCGCTGGGTAGCCTATGGTATCAAGAACGGTTATTTCTCGTTTATCAAATGATTTCTATTTGCTCGCATGAGATTAGCGTAATTCTTTTTAAACTTCTTACCTACCAAAATGATTTACTAGCTATGTTTATTAAAAAAAATCATTTACATACCATATGTTATGGCATTCTTGTAAAAAACATATTTTACAATCATTACGTAAGTATTCAAAATTGAATCATTCGTTTTTAGAAACACTTCAATTTAAATAAAATAAGTACATATTAAATAAATGTATCAGCTGCCGTTCAACTCCATTATTGTACAAAAGATCACTGTACATTTTTTACAAAAATAAAATCTCGGCAAAAAACCGGTTACGCAGGTAAGTGTCCCCTCCCTAGCAGACCGAATGAAGTGAATAACACTTTCTGTGCGCCCTGTGCAAGGCGAATCACGCGAACTTCAAACCTATCGTCAAGCGCAGCGGCCTGTGGGCTCGAAGTAGTTTTGTTCGTGACTCTATACAAAAACAAACCATTTATTGACGTACCAAACTGAGTTTTAACACGCACTCTCTCAGTAATTTAACAACAAAACCCAAAACAAATGTACTAACAGTGAATTGTAACGTTACAACCACTCGCCAAGCAAAGTTTTTCGACTTTTGTTTATAGTAATCGCGGCGGCAACCTGGCCGAGTTGGAAAGAGCAACAGTTTGTCAGTCGTTTACATGCGCGTCGCCTCCTTCGATTTTGTTAGGTTATACTTCTATGCCAGTCGTGCAGTTAAAGACAGCGTGTTACGTCGCGTCGCTGCCGCGCGCGTTGTTATCGTCGAAAACTTTTATCTTGTGTTAAAAATCGTCGATAAATAATGCAAAATCGATCCGAATAACGAATTTTAATCGAAAAAAGTGGTGTTTGAAGTGTTTGAGTGGTTTATTGTGGTAGTTTTAGTGTAATAAAGAGTGCATTCTTCGGTGATTCATCTCGTGACAAGAAATTGTGTACCTACTGTGTCGTGTTGTGGATGTATTGGTAAAATTATGTGTGGCGACTACGAGTCAACTTAGTTTTTATTCTTTGAAAAGATATGAAAAGGAATTTCATTTGAGGACAATAAAAAAAGGTAAGTCTCTTTTGTAATTTGGCTGCGGTTATGAATACCTAAACAGAATAAGTAATCTTTTGTTCTATATTATATTGTTTACCTCTAGAAATAAATATGGAATATTTAGTTATTCAGAAATTACGTTTCTTATAGATAAGAGCGATAAAACGACTTTGTTTATTAGTGTTTGTCTATCTGTAATGTATGTAAGTAACTACAAAAATACTTAGACCTACAAAATTACTTAATAAAATTCCCTGGAAGCGTTATGCTAGTTACAGTATTAAAATCGGTATTATATTAAAATAACAACCTAGGAGTTGATTGTAATTTCGTAATCGCAATATTGATCCATAATAAAAGTTTTTAATTAAAAATATGAATCAGAAACCATCAAAATTATGCCAGAACCTAGTCACTTTTGTTTTTAATAACTACCCTGAATTTAACTTGATAATTTATTTGTTCTATTTAACCTACTTTTTAAATCAAATAATTCAACGGCAGCAATATTAATTTAAATAATAGATTATTCTAAACGATTCCGAATACACATGGCGTTTTGAATTTAAAAAATCGTTTTATTTTCTTCTTTCGAACCGGTTTTTTTTTTTAATTTGTAGACAGGCAGGCACAATAACCTTGTTGCCTTTGCTTGATTCATACAATTTACAAATGGCGCCGGTTGACCGGCAGCTGATGAGCCTGATGACTAAACTGAAGACGTCGTAACATTTTTAAACCGCCTAAAAAAAGATTTTCAATTTGACCTGTATATAATAATAATATGTAATAATAACCTATGTATTATCTCTCGATAGTTTTCAGAAAAGGGTTTGTTAACTAAGGATATTATTAGAATATTTTAGTGTAATAATTAACCGACTTCAAAAAAAGAAGGGGATTGAAGTCAGTTTTTTTTAAAGTAAGTACCTAACTAGTTTATAAAAGAATTGTTTGTTACAATTAATTGTAACTTTAGGTATGTAGTAAATAACTGTCTCAATTAGGTACATAATATTTAACCGAACGACTTTATAAGGTAATTTACCTAATGTCTGAAAGATTAATTTCTTTGTACCTACCTAAATGAAACGAGTCTCGAATTTGTAGTCATCTTGCTACATTGAAAACGTTATTCATAAACGAAACCTACGTAAAATGAGTAGGTATTGGTAGTATCACTAGTTACCTACGTAGATAACAAAAAATATACCAATTTTGGTTATTTTTGCCTTATTTTATTAGGTTTTAAAGCTAAGATAGAAAGGTAACTACACTGATTACCTACCTATTTATACCTACTAAGTAGAACGTTGACATCGTTAGGCTTCCACTTAGTGTTATAGGAGCGTTGTGTTATTTTATTATCCTTTTTATGGATATCCTGTAGTCCTACCTATCCCTTTGTGTCGTAAATAGGTCGCCTATATCTAATTCTAACTTAGAATAACTAGAACTACGTTAGATGGCTCAAAGTAGTCCTAAAATACTCAGAACCTTATATCTATAGTCAGAATTTTAATTAGATTCCAGATTTGACAATAGCTACTATTTTGTGAAATAATGATACCACATATAATAGTGTAGTGATGAACACAAAAATCGATAAACAATCAGTGTGTGTGTTTTCTAATAAATGTTACAGAAAGTGACAGGATAGCGATAGCGATGACGGCGACAATTTATAAAATAACTTGTTACCGTAATACATCTATCTGTTTTATTTGTCATGTTCCTTCATGATTACATTTTTTTATTTATTTCACACACAATTATAAAAGAAAAGTCTCAGATCGTTAATTATTCGTCAAAACTAAAGTATCGGCACAGAAATATTTAATTTCCTGATATACTTAGTTTACGAGAGTAAAATTATAAACGAGAAGAATCGATCCAGAAATATTGCATTTCCATATCGAATAATTTCGCAACGTCACTTTTTAGTACTTGTCATAACGTTGCAACACTGAAATTGTCAAATCTGGAATCGAATTAAAATTTCGGGTATAGATACCTAATTGACCTAAAAATTATATTAGTCCTAACTAAAGTGTCCACCTTTTAAAGGAGTGTGGAAAATATTATTGTCCTGAATTGGCCTCAATACCTAAGAAAGTATGTAACTACTTAGGTGTTTGTTCAAGACTCATGAAATAAGGCGTACAATTAAGATTTCTGAGTAATGGGTGTTAAAGGTAAAATCCCCTCAATACAAGCCAATCAGGTCAATGACCTAGGTATCAATTTTCGCTTCGTGCGTGAATTCCTACGATTCTATAGTTTTTACTTACGAGAATAAGTAGGTGGTACACTACTTTTTGCTTTGTGCAATGGTAACTAGTGTATTCGGTACCTATTTTTATTTTTTTAAGGGGGGGAAAAATCATCGAATGACTTCTCCCACCTGGGTGAGACGGGAGGGAGTGTCAGACTCTTACTGACTAAAAACCACCCCGTTCCTACTGCAATTCGAGCCGGAGCCCCGGTAACCCGTTAAGTTCTCCACGGCATTCGGTACCTATATAGGCTTGATTGCGTTTTTCAGTCAGATACATATTAGAGGTATAGTCCAAATACTCAAACGTCATACAATTTAAGTTACGTTTATTTATAGTTCTGTCTCGACTAATTCGTTGTAAAATGACAGAGAAGCACGATATTAAGTAACTTGAAACAACGCTTGCGTTGCGTTTATACCATAAAAATACTTAAAGTTAAGTAATCTATCAGTATTCGATCGTATGACAATTAAACACTTTCTTATTAATACAAAAACATAATCATTCTAATAAATACCTAATTGGAAAATACAATGGGCGTTGTGGAGCTCTGTGATTTCTTCCTGACAATCATTTTTTTTTTTTAAGGGGACAACTTTTGGACGGCGTTATTCATTTTTGAGATTATTGTAGCTACCTAAAGTAATAATTAAAGAGTAGTCCCCCCATCTCCTAGTTTGACGTACCTAACGTAGACACTATAGTATGGTGAATGGTGCTAACTACTCAAATAAATAACTTATGTTACGTAACTGTTTGACGAGGAGCTCGACTAGTTTCAAGCCATGCTGGAAACTGGTCGAGTGCACGCACGCACGAAATTTTTAATATAAATTTATGTTATGTTATTTTATGTAAAAGGTGGCTCATGGCTGAGTCCATTGCCTAGGTTGTGTACCTACGACATCTACACATCATATCGCTTTATATTTTACACTACACAACTGTGGTGTACTTGGGGTCGTAAGTGACTATAAATTATAAGCAATCCTTCCGTCTAAAGATCTAGCGTCTAGCTAGAATACCTAGGTTCACAGCATTACCTAGGTAGTTATGTTGCTTGGCAGTCCGCAGTATCGCATATCTAGATTCTAGGTCTTAGCTTAGAGTTTATGAACTATGTGGCACACTGGAGCGCTCTGTAGTATGTACTTAGTGGTGGTTGTGTTTGAGAGATTGTTTAGAGATCTGCTTTTCAAATCTCATAACATACGAAAAGAAATTAGTAGGTAATAATATCAAAGATAATCAATACATAGTATAAAACAAAGTCGCTTTCGCTGTATGTCCGTATGTATGCTTAGATCTTTAAAACTACGCAACGGATTTTGATGCGGTTTTTTTTTAATAGATAGAGTGATTCTTAAGGAAGGTTTGTATGTATAATACATGCATATTGCACCCGTGCGAAGCCGGGGCGGGTCGCTAGTTATAATATAAAAGGAAATTTCGCTACTTATTTGGCAACACTGATGTAAGGAAAATACTAATACATACTTTCCAGAGCCGCTGACGAGCGATAGGAGTTCTGGCTCGAAGCAGGAATGACTTAACGAGTGACCGGAGATCTAGCTCGAACCAGGAATAGGAACGGGGTAGGTTTTAGTTTATTAGTCAGTAAGAGTCTGTCACTCTTTCTCGCGTCTCCCTAGGCGGGAGGAGTCATTGGATGATTTTCCCCTTAAAAAATATCATACCATTTCCGTGTGCTATGGTTTATGTATGGCGCTAAAGTAGTTATTGACATGTTTTTATAATAACTATCGTGAGACATACTAAATTAACTAAAACTGCGGGTTACTCACGTGACTTCCGGGCAAGGGGTCTCGGGTTCGATTCCTGGGTCGGGCAAAGTATTACTTGGTGTTCTCAGTAAATTTAAGTAACTAGTAGCACGGAGTCTGGAAATGTGCTCGGTATATGGCAATAGGCTCACCCCCTATTACATGGGACTCATAACATAAGTAGTGACACCTCTGCCTAGCCGTTCAGGGAAAAAAGGCGTTATGTTATTATGATGATGATGACATTACTCCATATACCTAGATATCTATACGGACTATATAAGTCCATATTACTTACTGAAGTACATAACGTATAACTATACCTTAAACTTACTTCTCAGCCCCTTGGCGGTAAGCAGGAACCGCGGACTCGTAATAGGTGGGGCCCTAATACATTAGACAAAGATATTATAGTACAGACCTGATCATACTTACGTATATATTATAATAGTATTAGCTATTCTAATAAACATGGTATTAGATTGAGGTCACTTCAATATCAAGAATACAGTATACGACCATTATTATGAAAAGCATCGTCAGCTGCAATGATTTTATTCCGTTTATCTACGGGAAAACGAGATTTTTATTGTATACCACGACGGTGGCAAAACAGCACACAGCCCACCTGATGGTAAGTGAAAGAAAGAAAAAAAAATATCCTTTATTTCACGCTAAGAAACAAGTGACATGTACAGATGTTACATTCTATTAGTAGGTACTGATTTTTTTTTAAGGGAGGAAAATCATCGAATGACTGCTCCCGCCTGGGTGAGGCGAGAGGGAGACTCTTACTGACTAAAAACCACCCCGTTCCTTCTCCTGCACATCGAGCCGGAGCCCCGGTAAACCGTTAGGTTCTCCGCGACAGTAGGTACTGATGGAGTGATGGATATACATGTTCATGTCCGAAGTCTGCGGTGAAATGGGACCAGTTCAGCATGTGCAAGAC